GGACGGAAGGGCGTTCCGGGTTTTGTAAGCAGCCGCCTCCTGTCGGCGCTCAGCTAATGCTGGAGCTGGCGTCAGCGTGCGGACTCCTGCGGATCGCCTGGAAACTCTGGAGAAATGGATTTACATCTAGAGGGATCTCGTCAAGTTAAGGAGCATGCGCGGCAGCTCTGTGACTCCCCCGCGCCAGGCCTCGGCAGAGCACCTCGGTCAGCCTTTGCGGGGCGCGGGCGAGGCCGCCTGGCTGGGCGATGGCCGGCTGTGGGTGTCCTTTGGTCCCCAGAGGCCGGGTTGCGGGGACTAGGGCTGGAGCAAGTTCGACAGGAGACGCAGAGGCAGTCAGGGAGTCGGGAGGAAAGGAGCCCTCTTGCCACGCGGGTGCGAGAGCTGGCCGGGAGCCACCGGTGAACCCTCCCGGCTCGGGAGCTCAGCGGAGGCCGGGGCGGGGTTTCGGGGTGTCCTGCTTATTCGGGTCTGGGGCCTTTTATCCCACGTTTGGTGCTTGTCTCGCCTTTATTCGCTAGTTTCTCCAACGGGCATCTATTGAGAAGTCATTAATACCAGTGTTGTTTTTACAATTAGCGTTTGGAGAATATTTCGCAGAATGTTGTAGGAACTACGAAGATGCCCAAATCACGAAGGTTCATGTTTTGGATACGTACGTAGCCAGCGAAAAAAATAACATATTTTAAATTATCGCCTCCAACCAGAATCAATTCACTTTCACTAGATTCGATTTCCCTTTTAGAGAAGGGAGAAAAAAGTCTGTGGGCTCTGTTGATAAAGTACTATTCATCTGCTAACTGGGAAGAAGGCACCAGAACGTGAGTCCTGAGTCGTCTTAGTTTTCTAAATTCTGTGTTCAGAATTTTATCAACGTCTCTTGCTCCTGATTTTCTTTTAAAACCAAGAGGACTCAAGCTAGTTTAAGATATGCATACGAAAACATAAAACTATGAATACACACTTTACTACTTATGGTACTATGTAAAATGTATGTTTCATAATTACAATAATTCATAAGTAACTTGTTTTAAAGTTTGAATCGGTGCAACAGTAGTGAACTATCAAAGTGCATACACAAAGGAGCAGATATTATGCAAAGCACCAGTGCTGTCGAATCTAATATCCAAGCTACTTCATTTTGTTGTTAAGAGTTAGGGATACTTAAAACCTTCCCCCTTACTGATTCCTTAGTAAGCCAAAAACTGCTGTGCTAAGGTTAGCAAGGCTCCTCCATGACCTCTTCTTTCTGTGCTGTATCTCAGTGCATGAAGGATCCAGAAAACTGGTTGCCAGGGTGCTGTTTATTTTCCCTGATGATGCCATGAACAGTTTGATTATGTAGGCCAAGACTACTTGGTGATAGAATGTTGTTGGGTTTATAGAGTGGAGAAAGATAGGAAATTTAAATAGAGATCAGGGTGTTAATTTTTATCTTACAATAAAAGGAGCTTGAACATTTTTCATTACTTCATGCATTTTATTATATGAAATGCTACATAAAAATTTTAAATATCAAAAATGACTGATTTGGTCATTAAATTTTCTGGGTTTTCTCTTGAAATTTAAACAAAAACAAAACCTTGCATACTTGTTCCTGAATCTTTAGCTCCATAACACTGTAAATTAAAATTCTAAATTCAGGGGCTGAACTCTGGGTTTATTTTAGACACCAACCAGATGAAATTGTCTCTGCCTTTTTGCTAGAATATAAAACAAGATTAGCAGCTATTTTCAATCCAGCTTCTTAATTTTGAACATTCTCCACCTAAACATGGTAGGTTCATTTTGTCATCTCTGCCATGACCAGCCCAACAATAAATACATGGATAGCATTTGCTATTTCTGTTACAGTGTTTTCTTTATTCTAGCATTTCTTTTTGGTTCTTTCTTGGGATTTTTGTTTATATTGCCTGTGTGTTCTTGGATTCTGTCTACTTTCTCCATTAGAAAGAAACTTTAGTATATTAGTCATAGTTGTTTTAAATTCCCTGTCTGATAATATCAGTATCCCCGGCATGTCTGGTGCTGGAGCTTGCTTTCTCTATTCAAACTCGTGTGTGTGTGTGTGTGTGTGTGTGTGTGTGTGTGTCTTTTAGTATGCCGTATAATTTTTCCTTGATAGTTAGATGTGATATACTAGGTAAAGAGAATTGCTATAAAAAAGACCACCAGTAATATGGTGGTAGGGTGTAGGGAAGAGGGAAAAATCTATGGCATGTGTGCTGCAGCAAGCTGTTTGTATCAGTGAAAGCTCTAAAAGTTTCACCACCCATAGAGTGGGAAGGGAAGAATTCTATAGTCTTACAATTAGGCCTCTGTCTTTCAGTGAGTCTGTAACTGCACTATGTACCTTTCGCATTTCTGACTTTTCTCTCTCTTCAGGTTGGACAGGATGCCTACTGTGTGCTGAGAATCAGTATTTTTCTTTTTCCATATGGAAGACAAGATCTGACTGGTGTTGATATATTCTCCCATAGGACAGTTTAGCTTTGATAAAACCCGAGCAGGTTAAGTTCAGGTTAAATAGTTTCTCTTACACGTAGATTTTGTTAAATATAACAAAGTGCCTTAGCTTATTTCAAAATAAAAGGTCCATTTTTCTAAAACAAAATCAGAAAATTCATAGTAACAAATAAGGAACCCTATATACTCAGCCATGATATGAAAGTTCCACTATTTTAACCTTATAAGGTAAATAACTGAAATGACCAATTCAGTTTTCACTTAATTTCTGCTTTTTTCAACCTTTTTCTTCCTACGGAGCAACTTTCTTTGAAGCTCATTGGAACGCTCATTCTATCTAATAGAATGAAGTGCTGCCCAATTGTAGAATCATCAATAAAAGTGAATTAGAATTTTTAAGTGCATTGTAATTTTTGAAAAGTATCTCTAAATCTGCCTGTAGCTGGTGCAGCTGGAGGGGTATTAACAGTGGTCATGTGGTGATGTATGTTTGCCTCTGTGTCTGCTTCTCTGGGATGAGAAGCACCAGTGATGAGAACACGGCCCCTTAACATTTTGAAGACCAAGTCCTTTTTGCCTACCCTGGCTCCTGAAAACCACCGGAGGGACACGGGCTGCTTGACAAAGGTGTGTGGGTAGGAAGATGCATAGTTGCTACTGTACTAGTCTGAAATTGATGAAAAGTAAACACAAGTGACTGGCCACTTCCCCTGGAAGCTACAAACCATCCAATAGACTACAGTATTTCAAAATACTTATATCAGTTAGATCCCACCAGTACAATTGTACAGGTAGAGGAAAAGATTGCTTCCTACTCTGCCATCTTTCCTGTTGTCCAAATCTTCCTTAGCCTTATATTCTGTTATGGTTCACTTTAAATTCTCAGAGCCAACGTTCTAATTTAACATTTATGAAAACAGACTGCAAGTTGCTCTGTGGAATTTAAAAATCACTGAGAGTTATAACTGGAAATTAATTTTAACAACATTTTTAAGTTCTTCAGGTTATTTTCCAGACTGTGCAAGGACAAAGAAAGCTTGATTGTGTGTGTTAAAAAGAGATAAATGTAGCATACCAATGGAAAAAGATTGGGTTTCTGAGAA